CCCCCTCTTTCCCCCCCCCCCTTTTTTTTTTCTTTTCGAGCATTCAGTTAAAACAGCCCAGGAAGGACCGGATCTGATGCTTCCTCTCATTTCTGTTGACTGCTGGGGATGAATCTGGGTCTAACCTGACCATGATTCCGAGGACTGGCACTTCTGAATTTTTCCCCCCAATTTGTAAATATCCAGATCTTCTCTTTCCTATTTTCAAGGCACATAAATTATTGCTGTATTTGGGAATCTAGGCAGCATCGAGGTACTTTTCTTTTCCTGAATCTCTCTGGAATCTTTTCTGGGATATTTTCCATAAATCATCACAGAAAACAGGAGGAATGAACCGGCAGCTAGTGAATATTTTGACAGCCTTGTTTGCATTTTTCTTTGAGGCAAACCACTTCAGGTAGGTGAAATGATTCTATCTGCTGATATTTACCAAAAGGCATGGAAAAATAAGGAAACTGTGTCACAATAACCTAATTAATTTGCTCCATCTGAGGGCATTTCACGTTTGTTTAATGTGAGCTATATCTTTTACACTTGAAGAGCCCCGTTGCTTGGTAACAAACACAAAAAAATCAAGTTTGGGCAATATGTTTTCCACTTCTCTAGTTTAAAGACACATTTTTTTTCACTGAAAGATTAATATAAGCTACAGAGCTAAGTGCCATTTTTTTCCTTTTTCCTTTTGGAATGCAGTTTAATATCTCCACATGCACTGGAAGTTATTTAGTAGGTTGGTTTGGTTTCTCCGCAAGCTATAGGAATGATTAAACCAGTTTTGTCAGGGAGATGGTTATTTGTGTTTCCTCGTTGCTTCTGGGAAAACCTTGGACAAGACTATACATTTTGAGTAGCAGTATACAGGAATTTTATCTTCTTTGAATTTAACCATTGACCTCTTTTACAATAAAAAAATGTTGCAGGGTTATCACTTAAAATAATTACTCAATTCATGACTGTACTGTATTTTATGGTATATGTATGTCTACCCAATGTAAAGTTTGTGTATGTGAGAGAGAGGATATAGAGCAACAGAGTGAAAAATTGTTTTTATTCACAAGTTTCAGGTGTCAACATACATAACTCACAACTGGTAGTTTTAAGTGACAACAGAAGTAATTTTGTTAGCTTATTACAACTAAGTATTATATTAAAAATGGAAAGCTATTTATGTTATACTTATTCAAATAAAGTTTGAATAAATATTCTTCCATTTTTGTTTAAAAGCTAGATTTTAAAGTAGTAGCAGGTAGTTGTCAAAATGGGACATACAAAATATAGAAGTAATATCACAAGTGCTAAAAATAACGTACTCGATTCAATAACACTTCTGTTTTAATGAGGAAAAACTAGCTATATTATCTGCTTCAAATTTCAGATAACCCATGTGTGCATCTAACTGTATATTTCTACAGATAGATACACAGAGACATGTGCGCACATATATACACACACAAATAATAAAACAGTAACATGAAATACTATTAAAAGTGAATGATGCCTTTTGGGCACATATGTGAATACATCAATACTATAAAAGAAACACCAATATGATTAGTTTAGATACCTCTAAGAGAATACTAAAATATACAGCCAATAAAACAGGTAGTTTAGGAACCAACAGAATATTGTTTTATGACAGAATTCAATTCCCTTCAGAAAAAAAAAATATTCATATCAAGTATCTCCAGATTTCTTTTCTCTTGGGACCAACCGTCTGAGATTCCTTTTCTCTGAGATATCTAATATGCTATATACACAAAGCTACAAATGTATAATGGTATAGTTAATTTACCATTAAAACCTGAAAATGCAAACTTATTTTAAAATGCTTGGATAGAAAGACCAATTGATGGTAATGATGAGAAGAAATGACCATTTACATTGCCTGTGGTGAGTTCATAAAAGATTAAAATCAGATGTGACTGCTCCTTAAACCCTTTCCAGGGAAAATAAGCACACAGTTGGGGAAGAATCAGATCTAAAACTATTGAAATTCCTTCAGGTATTATTAGTAAGGTATATTGCTATGCTTATGTTTTACTTCAGACTACAAAGTCAACATTTTTCATTGTCACATGATGCATTTTTCCTGTTGTTGCTGGAAGTTAGAAGCCACTTTTAAGCAAACTTGAAGTGGAAATAGTTTCCATACTATACATGCAACTCAGACAATAACATTAACTTGGGGTATCAAAAGCCTTATGGGAATTCTTTATGGAATGACATGGCAGATAAAGAGCATCTTAAGTATATCTTTGAGAAATTATTTAACAATCTTCTTTCTGTAGTTAAGTTTTCTGAATAGCAAATTGTATTTCATTAATATTTTTCTCTTCTTGAAACTTGCATTTACTTCTAAAATAAAGTTGTCTAATGAAAATGAAAATATATTTTCTTACTGAAATATTCACTAATTCAGTCAATGTGTTGATGAGGATTTTACTTTCAAAGAAAGAGCTTAATTTCCTCATAAAAGGAAAGGCAGTACAAGCTGAATAGTCGCTAATGGTGGCTAATAATTTATTTAGGGCGGCTTTCTGTAAAGAACATGATTCAAGATCTGGAAAATCCCCCTCACAGACCCTGTCTCCTTCAGATTTTTTGGACAAATTGATGGGAAGGACTTCAGGGTATGATGCAAGAATCAGACCAAATTTTAAAGGTAAGTTTCTCTTGGTCATTACTTTTTTTTTCGGCAAATGTTTTTGACTGACTATGGGCTTAGTAACTTTACATCTCAGACCTAATTACTCTCTTATTCCAGTTTTCTGGCAAACTAATTTCATGGACATCCATTCTTCCAGCACCAAAAACCCCCCTAGAGGATGCAATAGAGAATTAGGCTCCTGATACGTAAAATTACAGTACAGTAACACTTATAACATAGTTGGGTTTTGCTCTTGCTGGTAGCCACTTCTGAGAACCTCTCTAATGACTGGCCAAAGTAACAAACATAAGTGTGTGTTTCAGGTTGCTCTGCTAAAAAGTACTGGTGTTACTTATCCCTGAAGTTCATAAACATGCAAAGCAAAATCCTGAATACTCCAGAAAAAATCAAATAGTAAGGCTGTGCTTATGTAAACCCTTGGAGGAGATAAAATCCTCCCCTCACAGTTAAATGTCAGACCACCCACATAGCAGACTCCCTCTAGCTACCCTTAGCAATAGGGACAGGTATAGACATAGATTGTTGCCTTCTCCAATGTATACATAGAGTTATAGGTCTGTTATCTGACTAGCCACTTTCCTGTCTTCTCCTCATTCTCCCAGTATTTGTATTACTGTGCTGGGAATCATTATAAGCATCTCAGCCTCAGCACACATCATGGTAGATTTTAAGGCCTCCACAGCTTCAGCACAGGTTTAGTCTGTAAGCAATATTTCAATTGCTTTTGCCCTTTCAATACCCACGTAAGCAAGTTCGGGTTTTGGTCCACCAAAAAGAAAGGAGGTGGGAGATCAACTTTTCTCTTACATATTTAGAACTGCCAGAAAGTTCTACCATTCGACTAAACAGCCTCTTTCTAAGCTCAAAGTGCAGTTATACTTTGAACAGTGAAAAGTACTTTCTTTCTCAATAAGGCCACTCCTTCTATGTATTCAGATTTGTATCAGCTGCCTTTGGTTAAAAAACAAAACAAAACAAAAGATTTTTCTTATTATCCCTGCAATGAAAGCTGATGGTATGAGCGTGAAATGAAAAATCATTTCTCAGCCCATGAGAGCAAGTAGTATGATAAAGTGAGCTCACACATCAATGACAAAAAATGTTAATTACCTTTCAAATCAAGAACCAATTTCTGCCTTCACTCCCACATGTGCAAACTTCAGAATTTAGAATGCTGAGTTGCTTTTACTTTTTAAGATGCATGAAGTATAAAAGGCCTAATATGACACTATATCCCAAATTTATAAAGCCGGCAGGTAGAAAAACTGTTGTCCTTGTCCAGGAAAACACTTTCCCCTTAACTACATTGGGATTTCAACCTGCCCTTAAAGTATGTGTTTAATTTCTATCCTGAACTGGAACCTATGTTTATTAATAGTAAACCAATATTATATTCCACCTTCCACAAACCCCATGGAGTCACGTGGATTTAATTGAGATTTTATATGGTGCAAATTAAGTCAGAACATGTCCCAGAAAGAAATGCGGAACCATTAAGGACAAATTCTGTCTAGCCTCTGCCTGTCTGTGTACTTGGGAGGAGAGTGCAAACAGCTTTCCCCTCTTCCATCTTGTATTGCTCAAGTAGGATTAGATGCAGTCAAAACCCCTGGTAGAGAAGAATTCAGAGACATACTTAGGGAAGAGAGTAAGGAAATACATGTTTATTGCTCTGCTTCTCTGATACATTAGTGAACAGAGCTGGGAAGAAGAAAGATGCCTTCAATAAAAGGGTGGGCAATGGGCACACTGCTCCAGGAGACATTCTGAATTGTTTGACATAATGAGCGAGCATAAGTTGCTCACTTTCCCCAGTACAGTTCAGTCTACTTCCCCAACCAGGCCCTGGGTGACAATAAATCTGGAATATCATACTGTTGTTTTTGCTAAGCCACTTTTCAGAGCAGAAATGTACTTCATGTCATTTTGAAATAAAAAATAAACCTTCATAACAGCTTTCCAGCTCAGAATTCTCTCAATTGTAACATAAAGATTCTAACAATTTAAAGGATCCATTTCTGTTTCCCATTCTTTCTTCAAAGGTATTATGTTTGACTATCTAAATTTCAAGAGTTAAGCCTTATATAGAGAATTTTGATCATCACATCATCAAAGAAAATTTTGGCAAGCTATAGACTGTCTTGTAGTCTTATTTACAGCTGGAAAAGTACAATTTCAGTGAATGTCAAATCTCTCATTAGACTTTTCCAAAAACTACAAGTTGAAGGCAGTATTTCCGTTTTTGCACAATTTTCCCTTCAAAGTACCAACAGGCAGAGAATGTGGGGGATCAAAATGAATTTAATTTTATGTTGTAAAGTTGGAGTGGTGGTATAGCCAAGCTGGTCTGGAGCTTGTTTTTTGTGATATTTTTCACTGGACCCAACAGCATAGTTGGGAGAATTATTGGGAAAGCTTTCAAGCATCAGGTGCCCTTTGTCAAGTCCTCAGGTTTATAAACCTGGATATTATAGAGATGTTTCAAGTACTGAATCCAGTTTTGTGACAGTGTTGCCTGCCATATGCTTCATATATTAATATTTTATAGGTCTATTTAAACAGTTTTTGTGATGTGATACAATAAAAATGTTAACATTCTAAATTCTAGAAATGTATTAAGTGTAAAATATTGGATTGCTTCTTTTTTAATTAAAATGTATATATGGAAACAATACATTCAAGTATTTTTAAGTAAAAAAGATCTCTGTAAAGTGATTCTCTTGAAAAATGGTGTCCATTATTTGTCTTTGCATATAGTTATGAAAAGGACCAATATTTGTTAACTACATTTTAAAAAAGCAATCACAGACTCAAGTACTTTGGTCATTTGCTGTGCATTCATCTAAATTACTTCTGTTTCACATCAATTATACAGCTTTCTTTTGGACTCATATTTTGTTCTGTCAGAAAATAGCCTGGAATTCCTAAAGAAAGCAGCTCTGTTGTAGGCTTATCCTCATATTTCATGCTACTGCTTATAAATTAATTCAAATACATTTTTATGGACAGTTAAGAGTCTGAATCACTGGAAAACAGATAATGATTTGATTCATTCACTTTATATTGAGGGAAGAAATATTTGTTCATTTAAACAAAATACTTAATTCAAAGTAATTGATCACCGTATTTCTTTTATTTGCCTTCTTGAATTAGAAACTTCAAATGAATAAAGTGGAAGCAACAAAAAGAATGTTAACTTAAATCAGATGTTAATGATACAATTTTGTTAATGTTAATGGTACTTTCTGTTATTTTTGCAGTCATTTTCTTTAGTAGAGGATCCTTTCCATGCAATAATTATAATTCTTTTCAATAGCAAAAAATGTCTGCTTTTTCCTGTAGTCCCAATAAAATATTGTGTGAAAAACTATCAAAAGAGAGTGTGATTGTATCCAGGATACACTCATAGAACAATAGGCTTGAAGTGACCTCAAGAAGTTATCTAGCCAAGATCCTGCTTAACATAGGATCATCCCTGTTTAAATCCTTCCTGCCAAGTGTTTTCAAGCTTGCACTTAAAAAAATCAGCTTTCTATGCAGTCTGTCCCATTGTTTAACCATTTTCATAGTCCTTCTATATATGCAACCCAAGTTTCCTTTGTTCCTATTTACTTTTTGCAATATGTCACATATTCAAATTAAAGACCACTACAAATTAGCTACAAAGATGTTTTACATTTAACAAGTAACATCTTTGAGGCTTGTCTGCCAGTTTTGGAGCTTGTTTGCCTTTTTTATTGGGTGATAAATTACTTGAATATATGTCATGTTGCAATGTATCACTTAATTAACATATTACTTGGGTGATGTATGTAATGTCTGCCGGGGCCCTTTTTGTGTCCCTTGTGTATCACCATCTTATTTATAACAACCCTTAATGTATTTGAAGATTGTTATGCAATCAGTTTCCCCTTCTTCACACTAAATAATCCCAGTTCTTCCAACCTTTCTTTGTAAGTCATGTTTTCTAGACTTCCAATCATATTTTTCTCTCTTCTGACCTCTTTCTAATTTTTCTATGTATTTCTTGAGATACAGTGCCCAAAATTTGACTCAGTTATCCAGATGAGGGCTCACCAGTGTTGAACAGAGTGAATTAATCACTTCTTGTGACTTGCATACAACATTCCTGTTAATTAATCCCCACAGCTATTAGTTTTTTATGTAACAATAGCAAACTGTTGATTCATACTCAACTTTCTATCTAGTACAACTCCTATGTCCTTTTCAGCAGAACAGTAAGTTAGTCAGTCATTCTATATTTGTATTTGTGAATTTCATTTTCCATCCGAAATTCAGTACTGAGGATGCATGTGTTCTTCCTTCAAGTTATTAATGAAACAATTAAACAGTACTGGACCCAGGACAGATGTCTAGGAAATCCCACTTAATGCCTCTTTCCAGAAGTTAATGACTACTCTGAGCATGGTTACAGTAGCTTTGCCTGGACTCTGTTTTCTTAGGTTTGTAATAAAAATCACAAACACTTTTGCCAAAAACCTTGCTAAAGTCAGGATATATCAAATCCATTGCTCTCCTTTATCTACAAAGCCCATCACTTTACTGTAGGAGAAAATTAGGTTTGTCAAAAGCAAGGATGATTTGCTCTTGACACGTCTATGTTGGCTCTTCTTGATCACTACTTTGTTATCCTCCAGGTGCTTAGAAAAATATTGTATAGTCCAGAATTTTTCCAGGTATTGAGATTTGACTGACTCATCTGTAATGCCCTGTATCCTCAAAGATGAGCACTACTATATTTTCCCTTTTCCAACTGTCTGAACTTCTCGAGATCTCCATGAATTCTCAAAGATAATAGCCAGTTTTTCTGCAATTACCTCAGCCAGTTCCGTAAGTACCCTAAAACAAATCTCATCCAGTTTTGCTGACTTAAAACCAACCATCTTTTCTAAGTAATCTCTAACCTGTTCTTGCCCTACTCTAAGCTGATCGTTTTCTTTCCATTCCTTGCTCCTAACTCCTTCTTATGTGAT